CCACCATTTTTAATGCATTCACTACAGTACAGTCCTGCAATCTAATCATCTCTCCAAGGCCCCACCTTTCAATTACCATAATAGGATTTCCCACCCTCTTAACATTGTCGCAATGAAGGTCAAGTTTTGGGGGGACACTCAATCCAAGGCAAATGGCATCCTCAATATCCCAACAAATTGCTACTGGATTTGCATCCTAGAAAAAAAATCAATCACATGGGTACAAGAAGCCATGTTCAAGAATATTTATAGAAAAATTGTTTATAATAACAAAAAAATTGGAAAAAAGCTAAATTTCCATCAAGAAAAATGAGTATACAGATTGTAATATAATTATAAAATTTAATACAACACATACAGCCATGAAAATGAATAAACTAGAACTATGTTTATAAGCATGACTGGGTCACACAAACTAAGGTTGAACAACAAAAAAAATTAAGTTGCAAAGAGTGACATTATCGAGATGGCAGAATAGACAATCCCTGGCATCACTCCCCCCACCCACAACCAATCAGCTTACAACTATTAAAATGCAAAAACTGCCATCCTGAAATTGCTGGAGCTTGGAGGAAGAGGAGCAGAAACCCACTGAGTCTGTGAAGGTGCAAGAGGCTGTGGTGAGAAGGAAGAGGGACCACTCCAACCACTGCAAGCCCTGCCCACTTCTGGGGCTGGTGTGGTACAAGGGAAGAAGCATCAGCTGCAGCACAAGGTGCAGCTAGCAGGAGATGGTAAAGCCACAGAGGTACCCTTTGCATGAAGCTACTTGGAATCTGCAGGGGAGAAGGGTGCTTTGGAGTATACCATTTCATCTCCAAGACTAGCAAAGCCAACTAGCAAGCTTCCCCTGGAAGGGCCACAGCTAACAGAAAGAAGGACACAGAGGTTGGTAAATCTTCACAAGGGCCATGCACAGCCTCCCCACAGGAAACTTTTGGAGTGCTGGGGAGAAGCTGAGCCATCAGGGGAGCACAGGGGTACAATGTAGGCAACTGATCTGCCTTCTGATCTGCACGAGCACCACACAGCGGAGACTGATCAGGGTGATAGCACTGTAGGGGATGCAGTTTACAGGAAAGACTCAGTCTTGGGGCTGGAATTTCCACACAGCCCAGTTGTGTCGGTGGTGACCTCATAAGACCAGGAAGTGATTAAAAGGATGACAATTAAAATACAGACAGCACGGGCCGGCCTGTGGCTCACTCGGTAGAGTGCGGTGCTGATAACACCAAGGCCACGGGTTCGGATCCTATATAGGGATGGCCGGTTTGCTCACTGGCTGAGCGTGGTGCTGACAACACCAAGTCAAGGGTTG